CCTACCCACACCCCACATACCCACACACCCACAGCCCCCACACACCTATACCCACACCCCACAATATACAAAAATAAGACTTCATTTTAAGCTATTGTGCAGTCACCTCTGCATATACTACACAAACATATGTAAATCAGGACAAAAATATTTTTGAAATCAAATTAATGAATGTTGTAGAGGATCACTTTTTAGAATATAATTTGGCATTTTTCTGGTTCTGAGCTGGCAAAAGTCCTTGCTGAAAGGAGTACTTCTGGGGGCAAGGGGAGGGACTTCTGGTGGCAAAGGCCAGGAGTTAGGGGGTGGGACTTCTGGTCACAAGATGGCAAACAGGGGGCAGGGCTACCCATGCAGCCCTTGACAGCTTGCCAAAACTCAGTAAGTGGCCCTCCACCCGAAATAATTGCATGCCCCTGTTCTAGAGGATCCTTAAATATTGTGCTGGGCATCTTATAGCACCTGTTCTTTAGATGCAACTCAGAGTGCAGAAACAACTAGCACCCTGCCTGCTACATCAGATAGAAATGAGGATGTATGCAACTCCTTGTAACCAAACCAAGTGAGAGAATAATTGAATAACTTCTAACCAGACCACATAACCAACGTCCTATGATAACTCTGTGATTAGAATTGAAATATGCCTAAACAGAGGAGGTCTGTGAAGAATCATCCAGAACTCACCAGAACACCAGTCATTCTGCAACCACTGAGATGCAGAACAGACTGGGATGGTGTGAGGGTCTATCCACTGAAACTTACACCAAGTCTACAACCAATTAATTACATTAGCTCTTTAGTAGTGTTTTGCCCTTGCTATGAGCCCAGGCTACAATAAGTCTATCTTTCTGTCAAAAAGTAAGTACTGTGTAGTGAGGTATCCCTGTGACAGTGGTCTCGCCAGCCGTCCTTTAACCAAATTTGTTCTATTGGGCTTCCCAGCATGCACTGCTCTGCTTACATTAAGTGTGCATGTTTGCAGCCCTATGAGACAGCTGCCCACCCTTTACCAAGGAATCAGTGATCCAAACACTATCAGAAAGTATAGCAGGTGGAAGACACATTAACATGGTTTTCTCACATAGAAAGGCCCTTGTGTGAACATAATTCAATGGAGCGGATTTTTTAGAAAAGAATAAAAAACCTGTGATAGGATGACTATGTCATGACTGATTACAAACCCTCCACAAATTGTTATAGTTTAGGATGGAGTGGAAACTAATCCAAAAACTGGTTCTAAGTGGAAGAAGGTATTGCATCCCAAAAGGACTGAGATAGTATATTTATAGATAAAAGCCTGACTCTCAAACAAACTTCACACACACACAACTTAAGCTAACTTTTTTTTTTTTACTGGAAAAGACATCTAGAAATTCAAGTGAATTTAAAAGAAAATGTGCCTGGACTGCTAAAACAGATCAATTTCCCTTAGTCACTAAGAAATATGCTTCTAGAACTGGACTCAGAAGATGATCCATTTAACAAAATGCTTGAGATATTCTTACATAGAATATAAAAATGTGAGGGGCTCTACAATAAAACTGTTTAGGACAGAAAAATATTTGGTCATGGTTCACAGGGAAAAAATAATTATTTTTTTAATTAATTAAGAGAGATGCACATAATTGACGATGTCTAAAAATGTATTTCCCCTGGATTATTAATCCTGTCACATGAAGCAATATGACAAGAGCTGAGAAGATACTGACAGAAGATACAGCAACTATACTATGCCCAGCAAAAACTATTACTAGTCCATGCAGGCAAACAGTACCTGTTGTGGGATAAAGAGTCAGCGGAGAAACTGTTGGGGAAAAAGTTAAGAGGATCAAACAGAAAAGCTTGAAAAGAAGGGGAATGAGGCAAGTGAATCATTCATCCAGTCACTTCAACACCATCTCATAGATAGCATATAGGATGCCATGATCCATTAGGTAGGGACTTCTCTTTTTCTGGTTACTTTGGTGGGAAATGACTCTATTACAGAACTAGTTTTACGGAATATCTACACTCCCTCCAATTGTGCTAGCGAATGCCTCTCCTGCTTCACGCATGCTAAACAGAAAAAATATAACAGCATTGGGCAAAGATGGAGAGCGGCATAATCTGCACCCTCACTGCACCAAAAACCAGCTACATTTCATTATTTGGTATAAGTGGATGAGATGCTTTTCACAACAGCACTGCCTCACATGGTCAGAGGGCATGTAGACATGTCCTTAGTGTTGTGATGTAGGAGCCAGTGACTCAACCCATAGTCATGTAGGCAATCACATGGGTTTACTCACCAAAGTACTGGTTTGTAAGACCAGGTATGTAGGCTTTAATAGTGAACCCAGGAACTGGGTTCAGGGTTCTGTGTTGCTCTTGCAAGAGTTAAGATGAAGCTGTCTTAATTACACTGCTTTAGGCATTCTTGATCTCATCAGCTTTCAGGAAAAACCAATCATGAGCACCATGAAAGGGTAGGTAAAATAAACCATACATATATATTTTAAATTTTGTTTATAGATTTAGGTATAATACATTAATAAATTAAAACCATAAACAAGTTCAAGGATTTGTTTTAATTCTTGCAGTACCACAAAAGGCTGTGTGGTACCTTTCAGATTAATAGGAAGATGAATTATTGATCCAAGGAACTCAGAGTCTATGACAGATGGCAACACAGGTAAAAACAGGCTGACCTAGCAGGTAGTGGGGTGACTACAATTATAGATTTAAGCCAAATCCCAAGTTGGGCTTTTTTAATTAAATCAGATTTTTATTTTAAAATGAATCTATTTTTCTTTTTTAAATTATTTATTTTAAAAATTAAAAATTTAAATCTTGTAATTAACTACATCAAGCCTAAGATTACTATAATTTAACAAAATCATTGAAATTAAAATGAAAAAGATAAAATATAATTATTGCCACTGAACTGGTAGAAGTCACTAGCCAAGCACCTTGAGCCAGAGGTTTGTGAAGTGCTAACTCAGTTGTTGACAGTATCATCTTTTCTTCTGATGCAAAACAAATTATTTCCTCTTTTTCCTTTATTCACTGGGTCAGGTCAATGACTAGCTCATTCAAGTTTTGAATGACAGAATAAGCTACCTTGTACTTACTGTATGCTAAGAGTGGATGAATTGCTAGTGAGGACAAACTGATCAGCTGTAAATTTACAACTTGGCTTACCTCAGAGTAGCTTCACGTAAACAAGCCTTTACTGTTTGCACATTGCCTAACACAACAAACCCTTCAATGCAATTGTGTTTCCTGATGCTACTGTATTTATAATGCAAATATATCATAATGCAAATATATTGCACAGCCATAGCAATGGGTGACCAATAAGGCTTGGTAATATTGTGCAGAGGATACAGAGAGACAAAACAATTATACTGAGTGAAAATGGGTGAAAGAAGCAACTTAAAATGGATCAAATGAAGTGAGGTATTTCTTTCATATACCACTCATGGAATAGTGGAAGCTAAACTGTGGTAATTTAGCAGCTATTTAGTTTGGCTATAAACTGCCCCAGTTTAGCTTCACTTAGCGCCAGATACAGCAGACATATGAAACTGTTACAATTGATCAGCTGACACAAGCACTAAGCAATTCACTCCCAACGCCACACATTTAGAAGCAGTCTAACTGTTTCATCAGTCCACAGACAAAGATCTTGACAACTACCTCCTTAGGTTTTTTGAAGAGGGACAGCATTAGCTCCAGTTTTTTAAATGTGCTAATTTCAGAAGAACCCACTAACTGATAAAGTACCCTTAAAATTAGAGCCTAATTGGGGAAAATGATAATTTTATAAAGATAGTTGTCTTTCTCTGATTAGATTAGATAGGTGTTTTGGAGATATCTACAACAACAAACATTGACACTCCCTACACCATACATTTTCTATTTGTATGCTTTTGCCTGCTGCCTGGTTCCAGGGTAGATTATGTGCTCTCATAGCTACTTAAGCACCTTGCAGGGACTAGGGAAAAGATAGTGTAAATGATTCCCCATTTTCAGAACAGCACATAAAAGAGATGTCATCATGCTATCACACAGGACAGAAAATGCAACTGACAACCAATGAAAGAGTGAGACTGACTATACACAAAGTACTGTCAAATGCATGATCCAAAAAAGTGAAGTGAACAGAGAAATAGATCTTCTCCCCAATTTCTTTTTAAAGCACTATATACAACAATAAATAGCTCAAAATTGAAATGGCAATGTGGTATTAAAATTGAGGCATCTCTTCAGAATGTTCTTCAGGCTATAATTTTATATTGAAATTACTGAATAGCAGACTGAATAGCAGCTCCGTATGTCGATAAAAGAATAAACAGTAAACTACAACGTGATGTTAAATGAAATTATTCCTTATACATGCATGAACACTAATATAGTGCTTTTAACACTGGAAAGTAAATCCTTAAGTACCTGCTGTGATTTGAATGTTGGGATCTCTAGTGAGGTATTCTATCACAGGGCCAGAAACATAGCCAGATCCAAGTAACAAGACCCTTTTCTTCTTATCCATGGTCAGTGACTGAGCATATTCCCTAAAAGGGATTATAACCAAAATTAAAACACGCAGCATAAGCAGAGTAACCTGCTAAAGCTAATGCAATATCAGTAAGTTTTAGTTAGTTTACAAACCAAGAGCTCTGTTCAGACAAAAGTTTAAGTTCTGGGGCACTTCTGTCTAACACAAATCCAAAACATCCTTTTTCAAAGCATTTTCAGTTGAACTTCTAATTTCAAGGAATGTAACTAAAATGTCTAAGACTAGCTTCAAACGTTCACACCGCTGAATCCTCTCTCTTTTTGCTTCTCCAACAGCTATTGTTACCTGATCTTCCTCAAAAGCCATCACATCTTCCTTGATAGCTAAGCCATCAAAACTTCAGAAGGGAATGACCCAATTTGCCATTTTTGAATGGTGCTGCCATGTTCTAGATTATACCTACCTCACTACACCTCCTCTGCCACCTCTAAGGAATAGGAATTTATGTTGCTGAAAATGTAACTTTGGATAAACTATACCACGGTCATTGAAGACGCCTATAAGAAAAACAATTTAAGACTATAGCTAGCTAGTAAAATCTGTTTCTACTTATGGCCTTGGATTGTGTGACAAAAGTCCCATCCAGGCAGGGGGATCCAATTTAAATTAAAATGGGAAATGCTCATTTAAATTAAAACTAATTTGCATTTTTTTTGTTATTCTCCTAAAACAAACGTATATTCTCACTGACATAACTATTAAAATATGTGGATTTGAACCAAATACAACATATCTTTAAGCTAAAGTTGTTGATACTGTTTGCTAATGAGAAAGAAACATATTATCTTGATACTTTTAAGTAATGTATGCAGATTCTTAATTTTACATTTTGCATTATATTAGAAAAGGAGGAATACTTAATTTGTTTACTCGGTGACAGTTTTTCTGGTGCAAGGGTGGATCTGAGAAGCTACTTTTGGAAGGAAACTAGAATTCAGTTAAAAATGTACAAAAATAGAACCTTTAAGTTGCTCACTGTAAATTATACTATTATATTATGCAAGAGGCAAGGATTTTTGTGGGAAATATCTTTTATTGGTAGGATACACTTAAACAAGCTTCTGAATGCAATGCATTCTTCAGATCTATTATATTGTAACTTTTACTGTAACTAAAGCCACTTTAAATATGCTGGATATATGAAGAAAAAGTGTAAATGTATCCAAACATATATTAAAGTTAAATAAATCACAATTTCAAATTTAAATGAAAACAAGTTTATTGTTTAATTTATTGTTGTAATTACTGATTTATCTCCCTTGGCTTGATAAGTCAGGCCTTTTAAATATTCATAATGTATATCCTCTGGTAAGATAAGACTAAGAATTTTACCTCCAAGAGGCAAACCATATACTCTGATCTAACTTCCTTCTTCACAAGGATACTACTCTCATACCAAGAGAAGAAAACTTAAGGCACAATTGGGAGTGGTTTATATGATCAGAAAGTATGAAGAGAAAAAGTAGGTTGCAACTCCAGATCTAGCACAGAGAAAAGCCTTTCTTGCAAAAGAAACAACTTTTACAGTATTAGGCTCCTAATTACATTGATTCCTAGTTTAAATTATCCAGCAGCCAAGCTCTGGTCAAACTGGACCAGAATTTGTATGTTCCTGGAAGGGAAAACTATGGACATCTCTCAGCATTACTGTTAACATGATGTACCATTTGCACTCTGCAAAAGCAGCACATAGTCAGTATCAATTAAGCAAAAAGGTAAAAAGAAATTGGAAAGAACAACTCAAATGTACATTCCTCTCTCTTGGGGCCCATCACCCATATTAACTCATATAACCTGGCTGTTCTTTGGACAGAGTTCATTAGCGTTCAGAAAGTAACACTTAGCATTTAGTCTAAATAGAGCCCTTAGCTGTCAGACTAAGTATTATGTTCTATTATGTTACAGCAGTAATACAAGTCAGATAACTCCCTCCTCACATCCCAAATCTGAAACCCCATGGGTAAACTATCGCATTTTAAAGAGCCAATTTGTTATTATAATTGCATTCTTTCCAAATAAATCCAAAGGGGAAAAATATCAAAAAAGGGTTTGGGTTTAGTGGGTCCTGTTCATTGTTTAGTCAAGTGAGTTACATTTAAAAAAAATAACACACTACACATGCAACACACAGTTCTGCAGAAAGATCAAAAATCTACCCACAATTAAACCCCTTTGGAAGACAGTCTCCAGCTTCTTAGGCAGCTCATACAAGACCATGCAAGAGGTTAAGAGGGGAGCCAAAAGACAGACCACAATGCTGTGCAAGGAATAAGAAGGTATGTTAGCGAAGACAGCCCTGGGAGATTTTCCACCAAAACAGCATATACCAAAAAATGTAGCTGTAAGCTGTGATCTTTGGGAAGCAAATGGCTTGCTCCATCCCTATGGAAAAGGGCCTGTAAATGATTAAGCTATATGTGATGGACTTTTCCTGAAGTCCTCATAGGATTTCCCTATTAATTACACTATTGTATTTTTAAATTTCCTACAGCCAAAACTGTAAGTGCATGGGGAAGTGACACATTATATTGTCTAAATGTCTCTTAATGCATGTAATGTTTAAGCCCACACTGATTTCTGCTGTGTATCCAATTTCTACTGTTACAGATATGAGTGTTCCAGCAATCCCTAACCAAAACCCCATGAAGACAGAGTTAGCCATCATTGCCAAAACAGTGAGGTTCTGTAATAATTATAAAAATACAATGCGAGTTACTGAAAAATCCAGGATTTTCATACTTTAAGTAGTGAGGTGGTGAGCTTTAAGGGGGTTAAGCTAACCAAATCTGCTTCATCACCACTGAAAGATAAAAATACAGAGGAAGTAAGGAAAGAATCATGTACAATAGCTACTGTCCTAGTAAAGTGAAATGGGAAGTCAGAGGCCTTTATGCAGAATCCTGAATATACCCAAACACTGAACAAAACTGCATGTAAGTGGGAAAGAATAACAGCTTCCTATACTAATAAGTAGAAGGCTGCAAAATACATTAGAACTATTCCTGTCCCAGAAATCCCTGAATAGGCCAATGCAGTGTGCATACATTTTGAGGATACAAGCAACAAAGAATAATATTAGCATTCACTTATGTTGGGTCTTCAAGAAATCAACATAGCAGGCATTGTTTGCCCTGTTCAAAAGTAATTAGTAATATGTGCTGCTAATGAAGTTAAGCACTATAGGGAGGATTATAAACCCAAAAGAAAATGTAACTACATAAAGCGATTCCACCAAAGCTTAAATTAAATAAATAAATGCAACAACGATCAGAGGCACACATGCTTATTTAAAACCGGATACACAGAATCAAAATCATAATGCAAATCAAAATCTATATATTACCTGCTCTCCCTCAGTTTCTGGATATACTTATACTTAGGAGTCAATGAACCGTTGGATGCAATCACTGCCTACAAAGTATATAAAACAAATTACTCTTTTTGCATCTGGACTTTCAATACCCAGGTCAAAAAAGGAAGGAAATTAGCTTGTAGAACTTACATCTCGAACAACAGGTGAATAGTTCTGGCTTTCAAGAGGCTCAGAGCCTTCAGATAATAGCTGTAGAGGAAAAAATGGTTTCAGTCAGAGCACTTTATTTCCTTCATGCTTTTACAGATATTTAAAAAAAATAAATCCTCTCTGGAAAAATATGCTTCATTACAAAGAAAGAAACTGTTAACCTTTTTGGGTTAAAATAAAACACAAACAATAGGAGAAAAATAGTATGATGTAGTAATACTTTGGAAACCTGAAACACACCTGCCTTTTACCTCGTTTTAAACTGACTTTCATTGAAATTTAGGCTCCTAAGCCATTTATGAAAATGGAATACCAGATCTTTTGAAACATTTTGCCTAGTACTCTAGGGAGCATCCAATTTTCACACATAAGCTATGTTCTACAGCAGATTTTTTTAAACCAACATATAGCAAAGCAGAAGAACCACAAAATATGAACAAAGTATAAGACCAAACTTCTTACCAAGCTCATAAAACCTTACCATCTCTTCAATATAAGGGAAAAGCATGTCTCCAAAATATTCTGTTGATTCTATGGGAAGCTGTGCTGGGAGGTTGTCAATGGAACACATCAGAATTCCAAAACCTTCAACACTAGAAGAAACATCATAGAAATGCAACACCATATTTTCCTTGCCCTTAAAGAATATTACATCTTTAGCAGTTTTCTTTGAGTCCTTATATAATAAGTTTAATATGCAGGGGGTCTAGAACGCAAAGGAAAACAGTGCAAAGTAAAGGCACTCTCACCTGTCATGAATAATATGCTGGTCAGCATCATATATACAAAATGGATTGTTGATTGTTGTACACTCAGTCATAAATTCTATAGATCCTCCTGTGTCTGCTGAAATGTCACATATTGCCAAAAGTCTGAAATAAACAGAATAAAACAATGAACAAGAACATTAGCCACACCTCCAAATAAAGAACCACTACAAAATATAAAGATAAAATAGATCAAGGACCAAAAAGGAAAACAAGAGAACTAGGAAGATCCCTCAGAGATTTAGCTCCAGACAGAGAACCAAGTCACATCTCTCTATAGTGCCCTCAATTACTACTGACAAAAGTGTGCTTCATGAAAGGTTACATCTATAAACCAATAGAAGGAAGGGATACAGTAATATTTGTCTTGACATGTTTAGGCATCCTTTGTTTCACCTCTCACTTGAAAAAAATATATATAATTTAAAGCGTTAAACGGTATTTTAATTTTTTTAAGCATTAAATGGATTTTAATTTTTTTTCTAATGAACATGATTACAGCTGCTAGATCAGCAGCACAGACACCAGTATTGACATATTCCCACGTTACTCAGTCAACACCCCTAATCTTAGTGCCACTCAGAAAGACCACAACATGTTGGAATGATTTTCTATTTGAAATCTCTGGGGTTATCTTGTGAATTACATATAGGTGTTTGCACACCTAAAAGGGCTAATTTTGTGTGGCACCTTTAAAAGGATCTTGCAACACCCTGGTTGAAAATGACTGTTTTAGGGAACATCCTATCTGCCAAGAAACACTCAGGCTCTACTCCTGTTTACCCTCTAGTCCCAAAAGCTTTGAATTCTGCTTGAAAAGAGAGGGGTTGCGGAGATGGAGTACAAATGGAGTACCTCAGCCCAGCTTAGCCTACAGCCTGACGATTAGGTGGGAGACACAACTGTGAACCCATTCAGGCTAAAAAAAAGTATAAAGCTGATCTTTCACTTCCTGGTTAAGGGCTCTAACTACACAAGTAAGGTTATTTATACAAAAGATGGACTCCTCCTCTTCACGCCCAAGTCTTTTTTGGATCTAGCCTTAAATTCACACTCCACATTTCTATATGAAGAGTTATTCCAAAGCACAAAAAATACCATTTACTATCAGAGACTTGTTATTGAATCTGAATTAGATGAATGCCAGAAGAGACAAACTTTACTAAACAAACTGAGCTTTAGAAATTTTTCTAGCTATGGTGGTGTACAGTGTGTTTGTCTACATGCAGTACAGAGAATGTATTTTAATGCATTCTATTATGAACTGGGGAAACCTTTACTGAGGATCAAAATGTAAACGTATTACCAAAGGAAAAATTAAAATTCTCATAGCTATTTGTCTTGGGTAAAAATTAATTATATATGCAACAAAACAAATTAACAGGGAAGCAGACATAAAAAGAAAAGTAAGATCTAGTTGGTGTTTCACAATACATAAGAAAGGAGCTGTTTAATTAGAATCCAGGAGAATTATTGTCACTGAACAAAGAAGACTTACTTGTGTGGTAATTCAGGGCAACCCTCAGTTGCAAGAGAAGGAGATTTATTTGGAGCTAGCAGCCTTTGTGCATCCTGTCGGCTTAACAAGCGAGGAGTATCTTGCTCCCAGTATATTCCATTAATTAAACAGGTAGTGTACGGTGCAATCTGCAAAGACAGTCAGAAAGTCCCAAGGACTTCATTCAAATATTACTGACAGGCAAAAGAATTTAATTTGATCCAGCATACTAATGAATTCCCAACTAAATAGAATGTGGAAAAATGGTAGTTATTGGCAGAGTTTGGAAACCCTTATACTGAAAGAACAGAAACAACACTTACATCAGTGTTAAAACGAGAAGTGTAGAGTTCTGGGTGTTTCTCATATTCTGCTGGGTCATACACTCCATCACTCTTCCTTACAAGATGATGGTGACGACTTAGCACTGTCCCATATACTTTCCTAAGGTCTATGGTAAAGAAAAGGAACTCAAGTTCTTTAAAAAGCAAAACTATTGGCCAAAAAGATTCTGAAGGATACTGCATTACTGGCTTAAGGTTACCTCCAGATTTAGAAACTTCCTTCAGCTCATGTGGTTCCACAAACTCACAAGGGAGTGCATTGAACATTTCTTGGGCACCCTGCAGATAAAAAACTATATATACCAATTGCACAGGCATCAGCATAACTTTAGAATATTGAAAATAATAACATAAAGAACATTTTAATTTATCCTGAAATAAGCATAAGGGTTTACTTTAAACATATTGCACTAATTTTCACAGAATCCTTCACAGAACTAGATGTCAGTGGATATAACAAGTACCCACCAAAGAAACAGTGCTGTCTAAAATCTGATCCACTGGGGAACATCATCTAGTGGTCAGTTTAGCTTGTGAACTGGAAACAGTCACCTGGTTTGGCATATACTACAATCATGGAATTTGATGCAACATCTTCCTCTTGCTGCAGAATTTTGATCACAATTCTACTGTTTAAAATGCAATTTAACCTTCATGGTTGTGAGAAAAATGTTTGCAGTCTAACTCCAATTTGTCACTTAAGAACTGAACCTACTGTTACTAAGTTCATTCTGCAACTTGGTGAGTTGATTCCACTCCCAATCGCTCTGCTGGGAGTGGAGGGTGCCCAGCAATTTGCAGAATCAATCCTGTTGGCAGCTTTAACAGAGAGGCAAAACTGATGCTTGCATGGAACAATGCTTCCTTCCCCATGTGTTTTGTGATGACTATCAGGAAAGCTACTGAATAGGGTATTGCTGAGGTATGAAACAGGACTACACTTTTCTATAAATTCGCATTAGCCTTTATGCACATGGGACAAAAACACAGGGAAAGAAGCAGGATCAAAGGTTCCTGGCTTGACATCCTGTTGGAGAGGCAATATTAGAGACTGAAGTGAGAAAAAAAGAATAGCAGGAACTATTTCTCCTTTTATTATAACCAAAGTTTCCAAGACCTTTTCCTAGCAAATGTGACCTTGCAGTGAATTCAATCTAATCTTTATCACCAAAATCATTAATAGACACTTCTCCTGCAGGTTTCCATCTCTTCCCATATGGCTGCAGCTGTTCTGAGGACTCCCTTGTTCCCAAAGCTGGTATGAAAACTGATAGTCCCCCTGGCTCTTCCTCTTTGTTTCATGGCTGCATGACAATGATGTCACAAGAACTTGGCTGACTCTAATGAGGAATTTCATGCTTCACTCTGACCAACCACTCCCCTTCAGTGCATATTCATTAGCCACTCCTGACAAACCCTCAGTAAGGTTGCCCCACAGGGCAAAGAGCTTCTGTGGATTCAGAGATGACCCCATTTCCCAAGTGCAGTGCTACTTATAACTCACCAACCCACCAGACTAATCATCCTTTCATTAATAAAGGACTAGTATCCATCTATTAAACAGCACAGTAAAAATCTAGCCTTCTTTGGGAAATAAAATAGGCAGTGAAATAAAGCAAATGGAAAATATCCAGCACTACTGTTCTAATCCATTCCAGGGCAAGCTTCCCTTGAATGTGCATCCAAGTCTTTATAATCCACTGCTAGTGATCAGCCACAGAGCTCCTCCAGAGGCAGCAGTCTAGGATGTTTACAAATCCATATTACATTACAACAAAAGGAAACCCAAAAATCAAAAAACAGTGCACAGATTGAATTTATCTTTAAAACATGCAACAATAACCTCACGTGCATAAAATACCAAGTAGCACTTCGGGGGAAAAAAACAACCACCTTACGATATTATAGTTGAGGGAAGTCATGGGGGCAAGGGCTTCTTACCTTAGAGACGTTCCCAGTTCCTGTAAACACAAACGTCAAGGGTCCAAGAGACTTTGGCATCAAACCCAGAGAAATCTCATAGCCAGCATCCCGCACTGCCTGCACAGCCTGGTTGCTGTTCCTGTAGTTATGAGCCATCCCAATGTGCTGAAACCAGACGCAGAAGGGCTTGCTGAGGAATGTGGCCTTGTTTCACTATAAATGCCCAAATGACATATAAAAGTCTTACCATGAAAGGAGTGTGATGTCCCAAGGCAAGAAATCGTAATCCCATTCCATGTAAAATATTGATCATTCCTGTTTCAGAATTACACATTAATATCATGAACATACATAATCAGGTACTCCAGAGCCTCACTAATCCAAAAAATCTTCCTGAACTCAAAACAGCTTTTTCCATTTTTAATACTATTATTTTAACTGTAAAATAAATTGGTATAGAGTTGCAGAAGATAAATCTGTAATTCCAGGACCACTTGGAGACTTAGCATACTGCTTTTTATATCCCTCATACATGCCAACATTTTTTGAGGGAAGAGGGTAAAGAACACATGGGAATTAAAAAAGAGACAGGCCTATGTCAATCTGTTCTACAGAAGAACATTAGAATAGGGAGCTTTTCGAAGGACAATGTGAACATTTGATTTAAAAAATTAACTTTGTAAAACTTTAAAAAACAAACTCTGATCAGTTTGTGTACTCTAAGTCCACACTATGCTTAGGCCAACAGAAATTTAGGACACTAACAGAAATTTGTTTCTGTTGGCCTATGGATACTGATTCTTCCTCAGGTGAGGATGATTCTGATTTCCAGGATCTGAACAGATTGTTGGGACTTTTAAAGGAAAGTAAAGAAAAACAAGAGATTTGGAAAAACTAAAGTAGACTGCTTGCCAAAAAGACAGACAGTTGCAAGAAAAGAATTTAAAAAAAAGACACTGAGGCAGCTGAGTAACTATTAAATACCAAAAAGGTTTTAATTCTTATGAAGTTAATGTAAATAAAAGAGGTGAAGAAAAGGTATTATTAGCTCCGTTATACTTAATGCTTACCAGCCACGCCAGCCCACTTTCCAAAGGCTACAACTCGCACCCCTCTATGATCAACCATTTTTTCATAATCAATCAGTCGAATTTCCTGAAAACAGGCAATAAGTTGTTGTTACATATTTACTGAAAATCTTATTTTTAATAGAAAAAATGTATTGGGTACTGTTTCTCATGGAATTGTTTGTATATGCCCCTTCCATTGTACTTTGTACAAGGCACATACAGTTGGCAGGGGCAGAGGATTTACAACTACATAAAGTGACTGTTTGCTTTAAAAAAGAAAAATGGATTGCTTTTGGTTTTAAAGGCAGTCAGTATGTTTTAGTAAGGAAACAAAACATCAGCATTGTGAACATGAAAATAATAGAACTGGAGAAACCCTGCTGCCCTTAATCAGGGAGAATTCCCTATTGATTAATTGAAACATTTAGCCATGTAAGAACTGAACATCAAGCTAAGTGGGCCTGATACCGGTATCAGCTATGCTAATACAGTTCTATTTGGTTCAGATTCTTATTCTTTAACTGGGAGGATGTCATTTTCTGCCTCAGGGAAGCATACTTGACATTTCAGCAGGGGGTTTTTTGTTTGTTTTTTTTACTGCATACCCAAAAATAGCATGGGCTGAAACAAAATAGTGTATTAAGATACAAGCAAAGAGGAACCAATTCAGTCCCCAACAGAAACCAGTAATAAAAACTGCAGCCAAGGACAAGTGCTTAAAGATAAGTTATAAATACCAAAATGGAAGTCCAGAATATACAGCATATGATAAGAATTTGAGGACTTGTTCCATCTCATTGATGTATGTGAGGTAATGTCACGGATAAACAGGTAATCTATAGATTCTGTTTGGCTATATACTGCCCACTCAAATAGTCTTCTTTCCATATTATAACCTATCTACAAATATGTTCAAAATTAAATACATCCTATAAAATACTGACTGAAGACAGCAAAAACTTTTGGCTGCTTACAGAAGTAAAAAAACCCCAGCACTTTACATTCAGCCCAGTGCGCCCCTGTGCCAAGAGCAATGCACGCCCGAAAGAGGCATCGCATTAGTTTGCCCTGGATAGCCCATTGTCTGTATGAATCAGGCACTTCAGCAGGGCTTTCTGGCGCCTTTTGAATCAGCTTTGAATTAGCTTTAGATAAAAGCACCAAAAAGCCCTGCTTGATGTGTCCACTCCATACAGATGCTGGGGAGCCAGGTCAAACTAACATGCTTCCTCTTCCAGTAAAGCGCCATTGTTGTTTTATTCACCTCTGTCAGCACCCTTTGTTATTATATTATGAAAAGCAAGCTCAGAGATCTATAAATTCTTAGGTTACCTTTAACTGAACTTTTCTATTTAACTTGGTTTCACCTAGTGATAAGTCACTGATCTTTGTAACTACAGTATTTACCCGTCTCAGAATCTCATCCAGGAGAGACATATTTGCCTCCTGGGCTTTAATAGTGTGCGAGAAGAATGCATAGTTTTTTTTAGGGATCAATTTATCCTCTGGAGGTCTCTTCACTCCCACAATTAGAGAAGCCTTAGAAATATCTTCCTGAATAATGCCACCTGCTTTGACGTAATCCTGTAAACAGAATATTAGATTGTAATGCAGGAAAAACAAAGGAAGTCTTAAAAAACACAAAACTTAGCAAACAAAATAACACAAAACTGAGTCAAAGTATTATGATACATGTACAAACTTCTTTTATGATTGGAAGACCTTGCATATTCATACTTTTTTCTCAAATCTTAGAAGTATTTCCCTTCAGAACTGCTTGAGAGACTACTTAAGTTCAGTAAAATATTAATTCACATCCCTGAAACTCTGATTAAATAAACTGTAACTGGATAAAATATTTTTATCTTAGCTATACCTGGATCTCCATTAGTTCAAAAATATTTTCCAATTCAAACCTTTAAAATGACAAAAGGTATGTCCTTAATGGGGGTCTCTTTGGTGGAAACCAGCATTGCTCCCTATTAAGAAGAGTGATATGTACACATACTCCTTAATAGTTACCTATTACAGTTACATCAGGATTTGTTATTAATTGGGATTAGTAACAATATCAGGTATATTTTGCAATGATTTAGCATAATACAGTTGAAAAGCCCTATTAAGATTCAGGCTAAAAAAGCTGCATCACAGACAGTTAACAAGGCTTCAAAGATGGTTGCCTACAATAGTATGGTGTTCTGTAATCATTTCAGGCTAATTCAGCTAAGCTAATGTGCTCAGTGGAGAGAAATGCACGTGCCCTTTAAGAGTATGTCCTGACAGTTAAAAAAGTCATTAGGAAAATGACACATGAATTCAGTTCTGGGAAAAAAGCCACACACAAAAACAAAACTAGCAGTCAGATATGACACTGTTAATTACGCAAAGTCCCAAAGTCTCTGCACAAAAAACCATAGGGAATTTCTTCAGTATCAATGGAAAGGATAAAAACAAACTAACTAAAAAAATGTTAAAAATAAAGCTAACTGGTATTGCATTACATGTCTAACCAACGAGGTCCAGTTCTTTAGTCAGTAGGAAAGATTATTCCTCACAGCAATAAATAACGCTCATAACATACCTCCTTTATTACTTACAACCTTTAAATCATCTAATCTAACTGTCTATGAAATTGCATCATTTCCATTTTTAAATCTATATGAAAAGCATAACAGAACTTACCTTTTCATGGATGGCTCGCCGATTTGATGGCTGTACTAAGACTTTGTATCCCAAATGTGTTAGTTCTTTAACATGCTTTGGTGCTAGAGGTGCTCTTCTTTCCCAAACATTAACATCTTCCCTCCTGATTGCCAGCACGGATTTATGATGATCCCGGCTCTGTATGTGATGGTGCCCAAACTTACCATTTGTATGTCTAAATGCTCGGAGCATGATAACACCTGATGACTGCAAAGACAAAGTAGTAATACAGCACAGCATTCAGAAGGGTGCTTAAAAGGCTTTGTGTTTGTAAAGAAGACTGGCTTTAGAAATCTGCTGCAAAACATAGCCACTGGTCAATATAATGATCACAACAATGTACACTAATTAATAACATCCACACTCAGAACTCTGGTACAAGAAAAATGTTCATGCTCCAATATATCATATAAAGTAATATCATAATTGAAACAGTAAGTTAATATGTACAAAGACTGGTTTTGGTGTCACTTTGGCTGGATGGTTTCACAGTACTGTTGTCTCTACAGGTTCTTAGATGCCTTGTGCTCTTTTAAATTTTATTTACTGAGTTTGTGACGGGTATAAAAACACCAATAAGATGTAGTTGCAAATATAAAGATGCAAAACCCAAAAACAATCCAAGGCCGGCCAAAGAACAGTAATGGGGAAGGGACTCCCCCATAAAAGCAATACACTGAAATTAAGGCTCTCCATAAAGAGTGACAAATTCCTTTTGGTTAGACCTTTTTAAGATATTTGAAGAAAAACACCTAACTTGCATCTATCAATGGAAATTAGATATCAAGATATTTTAAACAACCCTAGTAAAGGCTAGACACATAACAGAAACTGAGGTGCTGCAATGCTGAGTATTATCACCACACTTCAGAGTATGCTGGGGAGGAGTTTTCAGTCTTTTAAATATTCATTGAGCCAGAGGAGGACACACACACGGTCCATAACATAGTTTTCTGGCACTCACCAGGAGGGGATAAGAGTCGTCCCTGCTGCAACGAAAGACTGATACCCAAATTGGAACAGCATCAGTAGGAGTTAGGGAGAGTCCCACCCACAACACACTACCCTGCCAGTCATGGAAGTCTCTTGGAAGGTGACAGGCCTGGGTTCAAAAACTTCTCACACGGATGGAACGATTTCAATCTGAATGTCCTGAATCCCAGGTAACTGTTCTAACTACAAGGTCATTAGGTGAAAAAGGAGATCCTCCTGGCTTCCACTTAGCCTGTGAGAATCAGACTCTGTAGGCAAGATTGACAGGGAAATGCCCAGCTTGTAAATCCCAACATCCCTTGGCATAAATTAACTGTCTAGAGCAAGAGAAACCAAACTTTAGCAGGCATGATACAAATGAAGCCTTGCACCCTCAACGAGGCCAACTCTAATTGCCTCCCCTGCCCAATTTCCTGTTCTGCTTTCTGCTTCCTGCCCTATCTGCCACTATGTTCCCTGCCCCCTCCCTGATCTGTCACGTGCCACACACAGAAGCTGCATTCGCCATCTGTGGCACACATGCCATAGTTCAGCCACCTAGGTAGTAAGGCCTTAGGTGGTTCTGTATGCACAACAGTAGGTATTTAAAAATCTCTATGGCTGAGTGATAGCTGAGCAATAGTTAGAAGGATCTAAAAATTGCACTAGGACACCTCTATCTTTAATGGATTTAGGCCTAGCTACTTATCTGCATCTTTAGGCACCTAAATACCTCGCAAAATCTGGGCCTCCAGATCCAATTTTGCAAAGTGCTGTGTGCACACCTAACCAACCACATGAGAGGAACCATTTAATTCACAGTTTGTCACCATGTGGGTGTTAATGCTGTAAGCCAGGATATGAATGTACAGCACACAAGCTACTCTGCACTAATTCCTGCTGTGCTTCATCTGGACAGATGCTTGAAGTGATCTTTACATGCTAGTCTAGACAGGGAAGTACTGTACAGTAATGTAGAGCACAGACATATGACACATTAGATACTCCACACTAACTCCCTGTGTGGCCACTGTTAGTGAACACTAAGTGGAAGGGAGTTTATTCCAAAGTGCAATAAGCTATCACACAAAATGTCACTCAATGCACACAAAGTTTTCATACATGGAGTTAATGCCAAGTAACCACTGTGTGCATTTTCATCCCTTAGATTACTCCCCATAATTTTTTCATGTAATACAACTTCTATGGAAATGTCCGCACAAGCAGGAACATGCGTTTCCCTGGGGACAAATAGCGGACATATTTGTGCTACTGCATGCACACTCGGGCGCACAGTAAATTGCCCCAGGTGGAGTAGGGGAGGCTAGGGCCTGTACCTGGGCTAGCACCAGTAGCCTTACGTGAGGACCTGGGGGCCTCCCGGGGCAACAGCAGTGGTGATCCAACCACTCAGAGTCCAGCGGGAAGCTGGAGCATGGCTCTGGCTGGCCAGGATTCTGCTTCTGGTGGCACACACTGCAGCCACATGTACTGCACCACTATTTTTGAGGCAGTTTTTTCAGATACCAGGATTTCCCAGTATCTAATCTTGCTGCCACATTGCAAATGTGCAATTTGGTGAACAAATTAATGCGCCACATGCATTCTGCAGTGCCTCAAAGGGCTGTGAGACACTGAAAACCACACGTTCCCACTCGTGGGGACATGGCCTATGTGAATAGTCTACTGCACATCATGTGCACATCGGAGTAAGCTATCCTGCACATCATGTGCACATTAAAACTCCATACAGGGAGCTGGTGTAAAGTAACCAGTGCACTGTAAAATTACACCCTAACATACTGCACTAACTTCCCCACACAGACAAGCCCTCAGTGGACTACTCTCCAGCTTAAAATGTTAGGCTTTTGGGCATATCTTTGTAAGGTTAGAAGCTTAGCAAGAAATATTGAACATCCCACAGTATCAGAGGAAGCTACTTCAGAATCAGAAAGGCAAAGACTTTCTAGTTCTTCTCTACATTCTTCCACATGCCCTCCTATGAAAGGAACATCCTTCACATCACTAGCCTGCAAGGATGCAGCCCTTCTTGCAGAAGGCCCATATAACCAAAAAATAAATAAATACATTCATTTGACTGGCCATAGGTTACACAGGGATAGTGCTAAGAGTCTTTCACAGAGTAAAACACGAAGACCAGCACTGTCTTGGAGTCTAGGCTGGTGATTCAGGGGGCTTACTGCGTGAGGGTGGCCAAGCATTGGAACCACTAGCAAATAAGGCTGCAGAGTCTTCTTTGGTGAAAGGTTTCAAGAGCCGGCCAGGCAGGCACTAGGTTGGGATGGTTTAGTGCCTGGAGCAGGAGGCTGGACTAGATGACTTCGTGAGGTCCCTTTCAGACTGATCTTCACAGAAGCATAGAGAAGCAGGGCTAGAAGGGACCTCCAGAGGTCCAGCCCCCTGCCTGAGGCAAGATCAGCCCTCTCCAAACCATCCTATCCAACCATCACCTACACTCTACATAAGGCTGCCGTCAGCCCCGACACAGCACAGACCCGGCCCCTCAGCCTGCCGCAGGTAAAGCCAGGGCAGCAGAGCACCCGCCCTCCCGCTTCTATGCCAAGCCGTCAACGTACGCTCCCGACCTCCTCTGGCCCCGTCTTGGCTTTTGAGCCTGTCAAGTGCTTTCCAGTTTGTAACCTGAGGCCCTTTAAAGGGACGCTGCCGCGTTTGGCCTCAACCCCTTTCCATGAAACTGACGAAGCTGCTGTGGAAGCTTCCCCTTCCCTTCCCCCGCTGCCGACACAGCCCCGGGGCCCGCGGCGAAGCGGCGCCGCCACGGCAGAAGGGGCGGGAGACTCCCGGCAGCTGCGGGCCCCCCCGACCCGACCCGACCCGACCCGACCCGACCCGACCCGACCCAG